GCTGCCGCCAAAGTGACGCCGAAGAGGAAGAGAGGGAGTGAAGGACCCGCTGCCAAATTGCCGCAGAAGAATGAAGCGGCGCGATTGAGCTGCTGCTGAAGTGCCACCGATCGGCTTTATCTTTTTTTTTTTTCCGCGTCGCCGCTTGAGGCGGCAAAAAAGCTGGAGCCGGCCCTGCACATACACCAGTTCAGACTTTATGGGGCAGATGTTCTGCTAGTGCAAACTGATGAGCACCATTCACCTCTGTGGAACTAAGCTGATTTATACCAGCAGAGAATCTGACCTTATATCTGCCCATTTAATACAACAGTTATATCAGAGCAGGGGCATTTTGTATTTTACTTCCCAGTGTAACTGAAAGCACAGGCTAAATTTGCCTTTTTCACCTTTTAACACTTTCAGATGCACCCTACACTATTCCTGTTTTCTTTTCCTCGCTTATAACGTAACATGAAAAAGATACCAGCAGTTACTTACAGTAGAACGATTTGCTTCATAGCCGGTTGGTGGGGTATATTTTACCTTCGCACACGGTTTCTTACTGCTTGTTCCAATTTTGCATTAGGCCTGTCTACATCTGAAAATTAGATGGATCTAACGTCAGAGGTGAAAGTAAGCCGGTACGGTCAGGTACAGCGCACCGGCAAGAGCCAGTACGCCGTGCCGGACTGCACCGGCTTCCGTGGCGGGGATTTAAAGGGCTCTGGGCTCCCCGCTGTGGCGGGGAGCCCAGAACCCTTTAAATGCTGCCCGCAGCTCTGGCGGCCAGCTGGGGCCGGGATTTAAAGGGCTCGGAGCTCCCGCTGCAGCGGGGAGCCCAGAGCCCTTTGAATCCCGCCTGCAGCTCCGGCAGCCAGAGCTGTGGTGGGGATTTAAAGGGCCCGGAGCTCCGCGGCGGCCGGAGCCCCGGTCCCTTTATTTTGCCCCTGAGCTCCGGGGGCTCCCAGCCACCACTGCAGCTGGGAGCCCCGGGTTGATTTAAAGGCCCGTGGGCTCACAGCCTCAGCCGGTGCCCTAGAGCCTTTAAATCTTGAGAGGCCCCGCCTCTTCCGGTTGAGGCACCGCCTCTTCCGGACAAGGCCACACCCCCGCAGGACTCCGGCAGTACCGGTAAGTCCTGTAAGTTACTTTCACCCATGTCTAACGTCATCGCTCACATCTATAAAAATGTTGTGCCGTGTGACATAGTTAAGTTGATCTAACCCCCCACTGTAGATGCAGCAAGGTCAATGGAATAATTCTACCATTGACCTAGATGCCACCTCTCAGAGAGATGGTTAATGACACTGATGGAAACCCCCCTTCTGTCGATGTAGGACGCAGCTACACACTAGCACGGTAGCTGAGTCGCTGTAACCACAGTAGTGTAGCCAGACCCTCAGTTCACATGTCACTAGTAGCACTGACAGCATGTGACAAGGTTACATTGTGGGTAGAGCAGAGAACTATGAATCAGGACTATTGGGTTCTCTTCTTGGTGCTGCCCCTTCCTGAGTGACTTTTGGACAAGTTATTTCACCATGTTGTGTCTCCAGGTTCCATCTCCCTGTACAAGGAGGAGAACCGCCTTCAGTACTTTACAGGGGTCTGCTTGTGAAAACTAAATTTTGAAAAAGTGCTTTGAGATCCTTAGAGAAAAGTACCATGTTATAAAACCAAGTCAGGAGGGCAATACCCAAGAGAAAGTGGCTGCCTCCGGGGAATAATCTCTGCTGTCCACACAGACTTGCACTTCAATTAATGGTGTCTGTTCAAATTCAGCCCCAGTGCTAAGCGCAAGAAAAATATTTCCTTGATTTTCTGTTGTTTATAAAGTGCAGGAGAAAGTTGTAATACACAACAAGATCTTTCGTTCCCCTGAGTGCTCAAGGAGGAGTGAAATGTTTCTACAATTTATTTTTAATCCCAATAAAAATTCACCTACACTTTTTGTAACCACGAACATCAAAGCAGGAACAACCTGAGAGTGAAACTGACTAAAATCACTAAAAACAAGAGTGTTGCAGGCTGCTCCTTGGGCACGCTGACAGAGACGCAAACAACCCATAAAGAGCTTAATACAGTTCTGACTGGACTTCATCTGTTCCCTCTAAGGCCACGTCAACACGTACAGAGCTGCAGTGGCGCAGCTGTACCAATGCGCTGCAGTGCGTCTGATGAAGATGTTCTATGCCGATGTGATGCTGTGTATAAGAACGGTGACCATTTATATCACTGTTGTTACCACTGTCACAATTTCCATGGATCTTATACAGTTTGTATCATGTAAGGTGTCAGTGGAAAAGTTGCTTCAAAAACTTCAAAAACAAACTTCAAAGAGAAACTGCAGAGCTACAATTCATTTGCAAACTTAACACCATCAATTTGGGCTTGAATAGAGACTGGGAGTGGCTGGCTCACGACAAAAGCAATTTTCCCTCTCTTGGCATTGACACCTCCTCATCAGTTATTGGGAGTGGACCATCGTCCACCCTGACTGAATTGGCCTTGTCATCACTGGTTCTCCACTTGTAAGGTAACTCTCCTCTCTTCATGTGTCAGTATAATAATGCCTGTTCTGTAAATTTCACTCCATGCATCTGAAGAAGTGGGTTTTTCATCTACGAAAGCTTATGCCCAAATAAATCTGTTAGTCTTTAAGGTGATACTGGACTCCTCGTTGTTTTTGTGGATACAGACTAACATGGCTACCCCTCTGATAAGTGGAAAAGTTCTGATTTGCTAAGTATGATTATCTGTTTATAGGCATGTATCACTTTGTATCTGAAGTTATGAATATTGCTTGTGTACTTGGATCTTACACACCTGTTGTGTTGCTGGGTGACCCCTCCGCCCACGATAGAACTTACATCAAGGCTACACAGCTACGTGTGGATGGCCCATCAAGGACACTCAGCCCTCACAACGGGCCATTGAAGAAACTCATCCCCTCCAGATAGTTCTTCCTGAGGATGCTTCAGACAGGAAAGGGCCAGTGGTCACCCCTGGTGAGTCAGCAAACTGCACAAGCCCCGGCCCCGGTCCCAGCGGCTCCGGCCCAGCTCAGCTCGGGCCCCGGTTCCAGCCGAGCGGCTCCAGCCCAGCCCCGGCTCTGGCTGAGCGGCGCCAGCCAGCAGCTGAGCACCGCCGGCCCAGCGGCTCCGGCTCCGGCCCCAGTGGCTCCAGCCCGGACCCAAGCCCCCACAACCCCTCCCTATTTTTCCGGACATGTCCGGCTTTTTGGAATTTCCTCCCGGATGGGGATTTGAGGACCAAAAAGCTAAACATGTCCCGGAAAATCCGGACGTATGGTAACCCTATGGGATATGCTTTTGTGACTCTGGACTCCAGCTTGGGTCAGTAACTTTCCACAAACGGGCTCTGGGCTTTGTTTGGGACAGTAAAATTCCAAGCACGTGGCAGAGGATATAAAAGACCCCTGAGTCATCTCCATTTTGTCTTCGTTTCCTGCTTCATTTCTCGGGACTGGATTTCTAACAAGGAAGCTCTGAAGAAGGACTGATGACCCCCAATCTCTTTGGGTGATTCCAGAGATTCTTTTGCAAACCAGCAGTTTATTCCATCTCTGCTGGAAAGTCCTGATAGAAGGACTTTGCAATCACTTGTGGGTATATAGTTCCTTAACCATTTGTAACTCTGTTCTTTTATTTTATTAATAAATCTTTCAATAGTTTACTAAGGATTGACTGACAGTGTGATATTTGGGTAAGATCTGAGTTTTGTATTGACCTGAGGGGTATATGTCTGATCCTCTGGGATTAGTAAAAACCTCACATATAATGAATTAGGTTTTCACCATATTAGACCTGTTTATCTGGCTGGGAGCCAAGGGCTGGAAGGTCTAAGGGGGACTGTATTTGGCTTCTGGTTAACCAGAGTGGTACTGCAGAAGCAATTTGTGTCACTGGCTTGGTGAATCTAATTATAGAAATAACCGCCGGCTTGGGGATTGTCTGCCCTATTTCTTGCAGTCTGCCCTGAGTGTGGCATTTTCAGGGTAGCTCGTCCCAGTTCTCCCAACGTTCTCCCGTTGGCATAATAAAACCACCTCCACGAATGGCAGAAGCTACATGTCCCGCCGACATAGTGCTGTGCAAACGAGTGCTTATGTCAGTGTAACTTATGTCGCTCAGGGGGTGGTTTATTCACATCCCTGAGCAACACAAATTCTGTCTACATTACAACCTAAGTCTCCCCTGCTCCACACCTGCTCCTCTTCTCTTCTCCTACCTGCCCTGTCTCCCTCACCCCCTTCCCTTTTCTTTCCATTTAACCAACCCTCCTTCCCCTCCCCCGCAAGAAATTTAGAAGAACATGCAGTTTGCTGCTGAGATGCTCTGGGGTTCACCCAGGCCAGCAAGGGGCTCAGTCAACATCTGCCTTGTAATTCTGGTGTCTTGTGGCTGTTCAGCTTTGGGTCAGCAGCACTCTGACCCCAACACCCTGCCAGCACCCCCTGCCACGGCATTGGTTTTTGCAGTGTAGATGTAGCCTGTGGCTAGGAGTGCTTTAGCGGTGTAGATATACTGGCATAGCACTCCTGACGGGGAGACAACTTCTACTGGCAACACTGTGATTTTACCTGTACCGCTTATTCCCAATCGCACCCCCGGAAAACAAGCTGTACTGGCAAATGCTGTTCTGCCTCTATAACTGCATGTGTACTGGGGGCTTTGCTGGTCAGAGATCACCCCACACCCTGACCGACATAGCTAGACCGGCAGGAATCTCTCAGCTAGACCTGGCTCTAGCGTTTGCCACGCTGACCTGGGGCAGAGACACCCAGAATAAGAGAGGGGTTATAACACGACAGAGCTGTGTCTTCACTGGGGAAAAACAGGTATGTTTTTATATGGAGAGAATTATCTGGATTTAAAATCCCATTGTAGCCATGGCACAGGTAGTTTTTACCTTTATGTGACCCCTCCAGGGTCAACACTATGTGCCCACTATACCCTGGATTTACCTTAAGTGTCTCTCTCCCTGTAACAATATAACCCTAAACACCAGCCTACTAGGAAAGTCCCTGCCTGCTTGCAAATTTCACTTTCACTTTCAGTGAATTTTGAGCTGGTGCAGGTTCCGAGCTGGTCTCTTGGCTGCTGTTGCGGGGCCGTTGGGCCTGGATTAGAACCTGAACCGGACCAGGACTTTGGGCTTGTGTCCTGCTAGCGGCCGGGAGGTCCCGGAGAAGGGCGCGGGGGATCCATGGGACGGACACCCCAGGACAGGGCGGGGCACCAGGCTCACTAAGGCCCGCAGCTTGTCACTGATCGGGACCTGGAGGCCGCGCTGAGCTGTAGCGGGCAGAGACTCAATGCCCAGCCGGGGGCAGAAGCAGACACACTGCGGTCTGTTCTCAAGACCATGCTCTGGGTAAGTGGATCACAAAAGTTCATGAAATAAAATGGAGCCAACAGATCGGCCCTGCCCAGCAAACCCAGCAGAGAGACTGGGAGGTTTGGGGGTGAATATGTGGCGGTGGTGGTGGGGAACGGTGGGGGGAGGGATTGTGGGAATCTACTGTGACTAATAAGAAGATCCCAGGAAGCCGAATATTTTACATATATCCGTTTTACTAGCGCAAACTACACGGTGCGGAGTTTGAGGTGGTTTATTCCTTGTTCAAGAAAATCTCTCTGCATTTTAGAAGCTGTTGGACTCCATCTGGTGGAAACAGCAAAGAACAACAAAAATGAATATTTAAAATATAACTTTTCCTCCTTAATTTAGTAGGAAAAAAATACCGCTGGGAGATTTTTGGTTTGTTCTCATCAGCTGATACTCAGCCTGGCGCTTGGTGGGTCTAAGTGGATTGACTTTTTATTAACGGACACTGATTTAAAAAAACAAACAATCCTACCCCCAAAGTTGCCCTTTGAATGGGGAAATGTTTGAGGATTCTAAATGGACAGTAGCTCGTTGTGGTGCGTTGTACTGAATCCGCTGCTGCTCTAGCCCCATAGTTTGTTGTTTTGTATCTGCCATTTCCTCCCAGGGTTTCCACCGTTGTATGGACGTGTGGAGCAGGCCAGCACAGGGAATAACGCTTGGCCCACTCGGAAGCTGTGCTGCTGGGTCTCAGTTTGGGGCTTTCTATGGCCAATCATATTTCAGTCCTTCCATTTTGGGTGTCACAGTGTAAACTGAAACTGGTGCTAATTTCAACTGTATTCCGAGTACTCAGCGAAATGCACCATGGGTAAAAGGGAAAGAGAATATACTGGAAGAAAAAGGAAAATGATTTCCAAGTGGCTAACAGGGTATCCCCCAGGCTTCTGGATTTAGAAAAATCATAACAGAAAGCGGCTTTAGCTGAAATGTCAAAGGCCACAGTCTATGAATCCAGCCCCATCATTGTGATACACGTGATTAGACCCACACTGAGCTGAGCACTCGCATGAGTCAGGGATGGAGGATCATGTCCCAAGGCTGTAAAGGCTGGATTCTAGCCAGACTAATGTCAGTAGAACTATTCCAGGTTTAAATGAGAGCAGAGTTTGACCCAGAATGTGGAGAGTGGTAGTGAGGAAATGACGATGTAGGGGGCTGATAGGCTAACAGCAGACACCACCAATTTGGTCATCTTAATGCAGTCTCTCTATACAAATACACTTCATACATCATGTGAAAGCTTTGTATGTTTACTTTAAGATGAGGTATGATGTGGAGCTGTCAAGTGGTGCTGTTACCACAGATATGGGGATAAACAGTGACACCATCAACACGTTAAAATGACCACTTTGAAATTTGCATTTCTTTCTGTAACTTGAATGACGCTGTGTATTATTTCAAGAGATAAATTGGATTTCTTTGTGACCTCAAAGCATCACAGCAATACCCTAAAGGGTAAAACAAAATATGATAATAAACTTGTATAAGTAATAGCGCTGGTAACATTTCTAGGCAACATCATTATCATCTTGTTCATCATTATGATATCCACTGAATGTGCTTGCACTACCAAAGTCTTCCTTGCCTTGGCTTGTACACAATTCTGTCCAGGAAAGATTGTTATGACTACAGACACAGTTAACTGTTCAACAACCCCTACTGGTACAGGCATAGATAAAGTCATGTCGAAGATCAGATGCCATTTGGCCCTTGAACAATACAGCAAGTAGTTCATCATCCACATTTTTTCATCCACATTGCAATGGTGAGCTGATATCTGGTTGGGAGAAGACATCCAAATCTTTGTTTGTCAAGATGCTCTTTTGACACACTCTTCAAAACTCTCTTCTTATGGTGGGAGTTTGGCCAGTGACTTGTCCTTTTTGATGGGTAGATTGAGATACAAGCAATTCAGTTCTTCGTGGGTCTCCTTTTTCTTTCTCATGCTGGTCAAACAGCACTGCTACCAATTTCCTTGCTGCAGAATTTGCAGCTTGTCCATCACTCTCTCCCAGTTTGGCAAGACCTTTGAAGTGGTAAGCGCCCTTTGTTTTGATAACATTAAACACAGATTTCCCCCCTTCCTCCCCATACTAAATAGGGGTGACACATCCTGTTACTGTGTGACAGCAGGAGGTATATCTCAGAAGTCAGGAATATGTGTGTCACAAATCGCATGCACCGGTCTGAAGCGACTCTAGGCAGTTTTGGTGGTAATGGTGCCTGTTTCAATGCACGTGTTGTCTGTGTGTTCCATTTTTGGAAAATAGTGAGCAGCAAGGAGCAAAACCATGGGTGGTGGGTGAACCGTGGCTCGGGGAGGCTAGTCCCTGGCCCCCCTGTCCCTTCTGCCTGGGGCCCTGCCCGTCCCGCCCCCCCTTCCCCGGCCGGAGCCCAGAGGCCCCCCACCAGTCCCCCAGGCCGCCGGAGCGCCACCCCCCATCCCCAGAGCGGTAGGCAGGCAGCGAGGCCCCCAGCCCAAGCCCCTGAGCTGTGGGCAGGCAGCAGGGTCCCCAGTCCTGGAGCGCTGGGTGGGCGGGAGATGTAAACACCGGCTACAGCTGCCCAGAGTTCCTGGCTATGGGCTAGCCTCTAGTAGCCCCAGCCAAGGGCAAGGGCGCCGGAGCCCTCCCAAAAGTCTGGGAGGAGGCAGGGGACCTTGCCCGAGGTGGAGGTGAAAGCAGCCCCTTGCCCATGTCCTGGGCCCCTAGCCCAGGGCAAGTGGAAGGACCCAGGCTCCCCACAGCTGCCCGTGCAGCTCTCCCCAACCCAGCTCTGGGTGTGGGGAGGCCTCGGATCCACAGCCCAGCCATGATAAGAGCAGGGCGGGCAGCTGTGGGGATCTGCGGTGGACCCCTCTATCTGCCCGCGGTGCGGGGGGCCTGAGGAGCACCCAGCCTGTGTCCCCACTCTCCGGTACAGGTGGAGGGTCTGCGGCTCCGCACCGTGGCCGGGCTGCAGCTCTCGAGGCCCCAGCCTCCGGCCCCTCTGGTCGGGTCAGGGATCTCCACGTGGGCAGCTGTGGGGAACCAGCGTGGAGTCGCGGACCCTCCTGCCCCGGGCGGCCGGGGGACCTGGGTGGTGGCTGCTCTCAGCCCTCTGCACCCCAGGCTGGTGGAGGGTCCACTGCATCTCACCACCGCTGCCCAGGCTCCCCCACTTTCCAAAAGTGGGAGGACTATGGCCTCCTGGTCCCCCAGTTCTGGTACCACTGGCCCGGGGCCCCAGCCACATGGGAAAGTAGAGCCGCAGCAGAGCGCGGCGGGAAGCAGGAGGGGACCTGGGGGTGGAATGTGGGCGGGACCACGCAGGCAGTTGGGATGGGCTTAGCCTTCCCCTGCCTTTGATATTCAATGCCCATGAGCAAAACATCTGTATAAGGTGATCTAATTACTATGGTTCCTTGGACACCAAGAGACACAAAAGCCATATTAGCACATAGAGCAGGTAGATCATCCTTGTGTCTGCTTCCTCTTGAGCACTGTATGAGTCTTGGGCTCCTTCAGCGCCTCCACTGGTCATGGACTTGGCTACTTCATCATTGGAAACGCCTCCAGCAAGAAGGAGTATGTGTGTTGGGTGTGTTCCTACACTCGCAGGTGCATCTTGAGCCATATATTCACAGATAATTTTACAAGTCACGGCTTGTTGGATGCCACGGTTAGAAACTTTTCCCATGGAGGCCCAGGGCACCCACCAATCAGCTGGTATTTCTTGCATCCAGCCTTAGATCCTGTCCAATGTCGTCTTTCTGCAGTTTCATAGAGTTACTGCTGTCATATCTGTCAAAGACTTCAGTTATAGAATCAGCTTTGTCAGATCCTTTTAGGACCCGCCTCAAGTACTGAGCAGCCAATTCATTGAGTGGGCCCAGTTTGTCTCCAGCCATCATTTGCGTGACAGCCATGGCATCTCTGATGGACACTGTGGTTCCTTTGTTGCATGCTCTTAGCTCATGGATTTAGTGTTGTGATAATTTGGGAACAGATGAATACTGCGCAGTCTGCAATTGAGAGGCAACTTCTTTGAATATCTTCTGAAGGCTGATACTTATTGTGGGCTGAATTACATACCTCTTTATCAGCAGCCAAAGGACAAACTCCAGCACCAAGTGGGCCCCAAAATAGCTGACCTCTGTAAACGACAATGACTTGGCTTAAGGTAATATTGTGCGGCTTTTATTTTGGCTGTTTCAGACCGAAGGATTGGAGCAGCATTATACAAAACCATTTGTTCATTGAAAGCTGTTCATCAAGCTCATTTGCCAGAAGAACATCTACAAAACACTTGGATGACTTAAGTTCCTGCTTCACATGACTAGCAGCTTGGATAGCATCAGTTAATGGTATTGTGTTGCATAGAACAAGGGAAGACTTGCCTTGCCCATGCTGTGCGTGGAATGAAATTGCAGAACCATAGTCATTTTTCTAATCTTACCTGTATACTGCTAGTAGTGGTCAGCCTGTGACCAAATTGAGACTGATCTGGTCAGTAAATTTCAATTCAAAATACAGACAGCTATTGTAATCACTTGTGAAATACATTGACAATTAAGAATGTGCGATGTGAAAAGATTTCATGTCAGTACAT